GTGGGCAGTGTCGAGGGCTGGGCACAGCCCCGGGGTAAGGCGCCACCAGGCTCACTGCCCAAACGCAGGCCCGTGGGGTCCTACAAAGAGCTCCTGCTGAAAAGTCGCCAAAGCCACTGTTTCCATTTTCTTTTCTCCAGCCCTTTCAAAAAAAAAAAGCAGCTGTCTCCTCCAGAGCCCCAACAAGAAGCAAACAGACCAAAAAACGGCATCAGGTGGGTGTCAGATCGTCTGCAAAGAGCTGCCTACTGACTGCTAAGTTTGTGAGACGCTGTTTACCGTAGGAAGGGACTCACCAGGGCCTGATTCACTGCTGGCTTTTCATCCTGAGTCAGTCCGTCCTACATCGACTGCTCGCTACAGCAGATGCCCTGAAGGAAAAATGCTAGTAATGTTTCTCATAATTCTGAAATTGAGCCCCAGTATTTCTTTTTTTTTTAAGTCCTACCGCAGAGCTCAGAGAGAACGCAGCTCGCTGTATCTCTCACTATCAGGGCTCTTTGGTTATTATATCAAATTCTATTTGTGTGAGAGTCCTTTAGCTAAGACCACGGGATCCTTAAGAACAGGCACTTAGGTTAACTTCCTCATGCATAGTTTAGGTGCTTAATGAGCACATAACAAACAGGGAGCAGCATTATTTAAACACCATCGATAAATCCAACTGCTACAAAACAAGGAAAGTTGGACACTGGTCACCTGTCGGCTGCCCAGCCTCTAGTGCCCCTTCTTAAAAAGCACCAAAATCTTTGGAGGCCTGAACTTTCCTCTGTTGTATGTCATCTTCCTGAGTGGGACCTGCCTCCCCTTATGAAAGCTGACCGGCAAGTGGCCACAAGACTTGGCCTGACCATTCAGATGTCACTCCCCAGGCCCCTGCCTCTGGACAGCAAACAGAAAGAGGACCTGCTTGGTCGTTACTCACGATGCAGAAATGTGCTGACCACTGTCCCGGGCCTTGGCCATTGTTTCACTTCCAACCGCAACAAGAACTCGCAAGGTTCTGGTTTATTTGCAAGCCCTGTCCTCCAGCATGTTTTCCTTAATTCTCTGAGCCTGTACATTGTAGCGTCTCCAAAATTACCTCTGAGTCGTTTTAGCAAGTTCGTGTCTGCCGCTGTAGCCAAGAGCACCGACAGATATGTAACAGTGAGGGTCAACCTGAACTAACAAAACCCGTTCAGCGAAACCAAATGATCAAAAAAAGAAGTGGCCGGGATGGCCTGACAAAATACTTACATGTTAGACGTTTTATTTGGCTGTAAATGTCAGCGAGAACCTCTCTGTCCCCTGATACCTGAGAAAAAATTGGCTGGAGTCCCTCAGTGCTACAGCTCGTCGAAATCTCAAACTTTTGCTCAGATTTCTGAATTTCCCTGGGCATTTGTCTAGTCTTCTGCCCTCCTGTGTCTTCTGGGTGTCTTTTCTGCATTCTCTCGTGTAAATCACATCTACTCAGACAGGCATGTCAGCATCTCACCAGCACACACTCACACACATACACACACACAGTAGGAGGCGGTGTGGTCATCTGACCTTGAGTAGGTCGCTGGACCTCTCTGTGCCTTGGTTACCACACGGCGTAAGGTGGATGTAATAATGGCATGTGCCTCGTAGGATTGCTTTAAAAATCGAACGAGATAGTGCATGTTCAGTTCATAGCTCACGATGCCCTCACATGCAGTAAACATCCAACACTCAATTCCTAGCCAAGCTAAAAAGTTTTACTGAAGAGCTGGATCCCGGGAGGGTCAGCAGACCTCTCAGACACATTTAAAACAGAGCAGCAGATAAAGGTGCAACCGGACTACTCCCCGAGCCTCGACAGCCACCCTCGCACTGGGTGCTTCACCCTTTCCAAGCAGAGCCCCGACTCTCCTTCTCTGAGTCTTGTCTCTTCTCCAGCCTTCTTGCTCCCTCCTCCATTCACTCATTTTTCCCATCTTGAAAGCATGTAAAAAAAAAAACTCCTCTTTTGTGCCAGGGATTTGGGCCCTTCAGCTCACACTTTATATAGGCTTTTTACCAAGTGAAGACATTTTCTTACCAAAAAGAAGAATTTCTGGTTTCTGCTCTTAAAGTAATAAAATTTACTCTATCTATTGATAAACTAGAATATCAGTTTCTAGACCCTGGTCGTCTGCATACTAACCTTGTGATATTTTTTGCATTCATTTATTTGTTAATAAAAATTTTTTTTAATCTTCACTCGAGGATATTTTTTCCATTGCTTTTCAGAGAGAGTGGAAGGGGGAGAGAGAGAGAGAGAGATCGATGTGAGAGGGACACATTGATTGGTTGCCTCCTGCACGAGCCCTCACCAGGGCCAGGAATCCAACCTGCAACCCAGGTACGTGCCCTTGGCTGGAATCGAACCCAGGACCCTTCGGTCTACAGCCGACACTCTAACCACTGAGCCAAACTGGCTAGGGCTGAATATTTTTAAATTATATAACATTTTCTTTAAATACACTTATTTTTCAATTTTAAATAATTGTATTTTCAAAGGAACCTTGACATCACTACGGTAAGTGTGCAAAATAGTATTACTCATCACAACAAGACAGGTAACCTTAAAATAAATATTCACCTTAAAATAAAAAGATGTTCATATACCACCTAAAATCATCATGTATTACCAGAGATCCATGTATCACAATTTGGTAAATGTGAACCTAAAATACATCCTTGATCAGGGACCCCGCCAGAGGCCGGACTGAGGGAGGTTCGGGTGGAAAGTCTGCGGCATTTGCATGTTACTAGTACTGTGGGTAGAGACAGGGAGTGGGCAAGGGTGGGCACATGTTAATGGGGTCAGGACAGAAATCCGACAGAGTGGATGGTCCACAGATAAGATTCTGGGGAGGGAATATCATCCTGTATCTTGAGCGATACAAGACAGACAGCACCCGAGGCAAATGTTCATTTAATTGAATTGTATTCTGCCATTAGAATCCAATGCTGCTATAAATAAATGTTAAAAAGCTACAAAGGTTAGGGACCGTACTATCTGAATTATCCCTAAAGAAGTGCATTTTAACCAACTGGCGCAGTTTGATACAGTGTCTAAAATTAAAACAACCTCATAACATCACCATTCATATTGCTCACTTTGGCCTTTCACTGAACTAAAATCACATGGAGATTCTCTAGATTCCACCCTGCTCTCTCGGGACAAACGGCATCACAGACTTTTAGGGGAAAATTAAACACATGGCACCAGCCTAAAAATGTGTATTGAAGTCCTACGGCTCTGCACCAGATCAGCGCGCTGGGGAAACAAAGTCCACGATGCTTCTGTTGAGAATGTAAAGTGTGTTATTGCTAAGTAGTCAGAGCCTCTTTGCGCATCAAGGTGCGACAGAACTCAGCCTCATTTGACATACATGCAGTAACATCAAAGACTGGCTGATCAGCAACGCTTTACTAAATACTCACCGTGTGCCGGGGACCATGTGTGAGACAAGTTCTATCCTTAAGGAATCCCCAAGTTCAGTACACCTGTGGGAGCCCAGTCACGTTACACTGGCGTTTCTGTCAAGGCATCTGACAGCTCCCTTCTGTCACAGACACACAGGCACAGTGCCCCTGGTCTATACCTGAACGTGCTTTTCTACAGGTCCCAAGGAAAACAAACACTGTCCTGTGATTATACCAGGAATTTATTTTATTCTATTATTTTATTTTTAAACATGNCTGACAGCTCCCTTCTGTCACAGACACACAGGCACAGTGCCCCTGGTCTACACCTGAACGTGCTTTTCTACAGGTCCCAAGGAAAACAAACACTGTCCTATGATTACATCAGGAATTTATTTTTTTTTATTATTTTATTTTTAAACATGTATTTTTTTAAAAAATATATCTTTATTGATTTCAGAGAGAGGAAAGGAGAGGGAGAGAGAGAGACAGAAACATCAATGATGAGAGAGTCACTGATCAAGCCCACAACCCGGGCATGTGCCCTGACCGGGAATTGAACCCCGATCGCCTGGATTCCAGGCCGACGCTCAACCGCTGAGCCACGCCCGACTGGGCAACATGTATTTTTAGNAATTGAACCCCGATCGCCTGGATTCCAGGCCGACGCTCAACCGCTGAGCCGCGCCCGACTGGGCAACATGTATTTTTAGAAATTAATTTCAGAGAAAGGAAGGGAGAGGGAGAGAGAGATAGAAACATCAATGATGAGAGAATCATTGATAGGCTGACTCCTGCACTCCCCCCACTGGGGATCAAGCCCACAGCCCGGGCATGTGCCCTGACTGGGAATCAAACAGCGATCTCCTGGATCCTAGGTCGATGCTCAACCACTGAGCAGCACTGGCTGGCCAGGAATTTATTTTCTTAAAAAGCCTTCCAGCTCTCAGTATCTTCCGCTATTCCTCAGCCTCAAGTGCCAATCCATAACACTTACGCCTTATTGGATACAACTTCCTCGCACTATTTGGTTGTGCCAAATAAAATTGCAGCAAACCTTTAAAGAAATAACTTCCCAGGAGCCATCCTATTATTTGATCTCCAAGGGCAGCAGGAAATTACAGGAAAACAAAACACAAAGCGTTGGGCTTTACATAACTACACCATGCAACCATCACGTCCCATAATCTAATGACCTGGTTGAAAAAAGGAGTGGGCCAATGAGAACTGCTATAAATAGCCATTTAAACATACATTCAAAGTTTAGCTGAACAGATATTACATTATTTTATGCTATTAAATACATCTTCTTTCTTCCTATTACAGAGATGAGTGTCTACTTTCATATAACATATCTCCCATAGTGCAGACGTTAGTATAGGCCTCTGGAAACATTTAGAGCCATATTTACTTATCACTTAAGCAGAAGTGAAAAAACCCCACTTATAATCGAACAGAACCACACTCATGATTCTATAAGAAATGTTGAAGAAAATCCGCATCCATTAGCTTTGTTACAGAGGCCTTGTAGTTCACATGACCATAATTGATAGCACAGTATATACAGAAATGCCACGTACCTCACATTAGCATCCAGTTCGTCCATTACAGGAACTAGGCATGGGTGAGCTGGCCTTCAGTACCCACAGGGTCCTGTAACGCGGCAAGAAATGAAAGTTAGACAATCCGGTGATGTAGGTAAATAAAAGTCCTTGGTGGGGGGGGGAAATGCCAAGTGGTAAACGCTTCCTATTTATTAAGACTTTTGTAGAGTATCAGTAAACCATTTAATAAACAATACCACAGCAAAAAGCTATTGGCTCACCGAGGTAGGGCACCGCTGAGTGTTGCAAAAGGTGTTTTTATGTGTGACTGATCTCCTGCAGATTAAAACATACAGGTACTTCTTTTGACTCTGTGTTAATCAGTTTATTTTTTGTTCTTCCTGGAAACAGCTTATTTATATGATCCGCATTAGGACACTAGCTAGTGAAAATAGGTAACTACATTGTTATGATTAAAATAGTACATTACCTAAAATGGTCAGTCCCTTTGTTTCCTATAAAGCTTTTCATATTTTTTAAAACTCGTTTTGAGAGTAATCATGTATCCTTTTGAGAATCTAGTAAGCTCCTGAGAACTTTCTACCCAGAAAAAAAATAGATGGGCACATACATGTACACTTTCTGGGGAGCCCACGTTTCCTTGAGGCCCCTCCATAAACCCCCGGCTAAGATCTCCCAGTGGAAGGGGAGCTGACTTTCAAACTCTCAAAAGTTCCTCCAGCACAGACTCTCAGAAGACCTTACACCCTTTAACAGATGGACACCCACTGATATTCACTAAACCAGCTCTAAACTGTACAGTTTTATTTTTCAGAAGAATTCCTGCTTTTCAACACATTTGCTCCACAACATGATGAATCAGAGAGCATAGAGGCAGAGCCTGGTCTGTTGCTCCTGGGGTTACCCGGAGCAAGTCCCTTTTTCATTCTGAGCTTCATCACCCACTTCTTGAAAATAAGAGATGATCTCTGGGTTCACTTCCAGCTCTGATATTCTATAATTCCATCTGCTGGTTTTCTAATCAAATTGAACCAAGACGAAACTGTAAATCTGTTTATCTACATAACAGAGCCATGAAACTCAGCCTGGGCTCTGGGGTGGACCAAACACACGCCCCCGGCAGCCAAGAAGAGCGTGGCAGACCACCTGGAGCTGGGAGGGTGCAGAGCTCATTGGGTCCTACAGCGTTTGCTCCTTAGAGCCTCTGACATCAACAGAGGCTCCTGTGGGCATTTCTGGGTCTGCAGCAGGGGTGGGGAAGGCTCGGCCTGCAGGTCTCTGAACCCTGACTCTGACCTCAAGTAAAGCAGCTCTGTCAGCTTTTATCTCTTTTATGTTTAAATTTGGAATAATCTTTTATTTGCAATACATACGGACAAAGCCCTAGCAATTGAAGTGGCAGGGCTCCCTCCTCCCTCCTCCATCTGAAAGTCATACCTGAAGTCACATCCCTGGCCATGGCTTAAAATGCCACCTAGTCACTGAAGGTTCCCAAAACAATAGCTCCAGCCTAGGCCCTTCCCAGACCCTTATCGCCTACCTGACATTACAACTTGGATGGCTAAAAAGCATTTCCAGCTGAACTCTTCATGTCCCACTCCCAGCACAAACACCTACTCCTCCCCTGGTGTTCTCCGTGTCGGTACACAGCTCCAGCATTTGCCCAGTGACTGAGACCAAGCTGCCTCTTCTCACACCCTACAACCAAACTATCAGCAAACTCATTCTCTCCACTTTAAAAATGATTCCCTGGCCTGATTTTTCTCATTACCTCCAGAACCAACATCCTGGCCAAAGCAAGCGAGCGTATCTCCCTGCCCTGGGAGACTGCCTCGCCCTCCTAATTGGTCTCCTGCTTGCTCCGCTGTCATCTCTTCTCCCCACAGTAGCCAGAGTAATATTCTTAAAATTCTAGTGGCTTCTGGTCACACTTAGAAGGAAACGCCAACTCATATCACGGCCAACCAGACCTGACATGATCTGGCCCCAGCTCTTCTCCAATCCCAACTTTAGCCATGGCTGGCCTACCCCCTCACTGCCCTCCAGCACACAGGTCTTGCTACTTTCCCTGACCATGAAAGTAGGCTCTCAGCCCAGGGTTTCTTCACTCACTGTATCTTCTCCCTAGAATGCTACGGTGTAGATCAGTCCCTCAGGTTCTTAGAGACTCTGCTCAACTGGTACTCCCCACGGATATCTTCGTTGGTCATCGAAGTACAATTTCAGACCTCACTTTCTGTAAGTTTCAATCCCCTTTACCCACTCTATTTTATCTTACTAGCACACAAGCTACATATACTCAATTGCTCCTTTATTAGTGATCCGTCTCTATCACTAGAACGTAAGTTTCGAAAGCGTATAGTTATATCTTGATCAATCCTCAGTGTCTAGAAAAATGATATATTCGCTTGATAGATACTTGTTGAGTCATCTAAGTGGTTAATTCATTTTGCAAACTGAGGTTTGAGAATTTGTGACTTTCTCACTGGGACGTAATGCACGAACCATCCCAGGGTACAATACTGTAATTTTTTAAAGTAGCGAAAACCATTTCATTTTATGAAGTCACCCTTCACTGAGTGTTAACAAGTGCCAAACACTGTCCCTTTCCCTTCTCTTCCAACCTCTGAGTTTTTATCTCTATTGTTAGATGAAGAGACTAAAGGTCCAAGGGGTTAACTGACCAAACTGGGACTAGAATCCAGGCCTGTGAATTCCAAAACTCAAGCCTTGTCTTGCAATAGTTCTTGTCGTACCAAATTTCCTCCCACAAGAGCAAGGAAATCTGGTAAAAGTGGGCATTTGCTGTAATTGTCTGCTGATCCTCGACTCCCTCTTTCTTAGAAAACAGTGCCTTGATTTTTCTTTGCAGAACTACCCCTTGCATGCTTCAGCCCCCAGCTCCAGTGACGAGCACATGACCAGGACTGGCCGATCAGAACGGTCCATTCCCTGGCCATAATGAATTAGCTCATCTGCTAGACTAGTGAAAACCAGACCTGAGATTTTTGCTAGGAAGAGTCTCTCTCCATCCTGATGTTGCTAAACTGATGGACTTTCGATTTTAAGTTCTTGGTGGCCACCATTGCCAAGGTGTGGAGGAAAGCCTGAGAGGGAAGCTAAGCCAAAGGAAAGAAGAGTTGCAACAGAGAGAATACCAGTGTTCTGATGACATCATTTGAGGCTTAAGTTTCAGCAGTATCTTAAAACAGTATTTTATACTTGAATGAACCAACAAATTCTTTTTTTTTCCCTCCATAAGCCAGTTTGACTTGGGTTCCAGCCATTATCTGCAACCAAAAGAGTCCTGCATAATATACTAGAAAATCAATATTGTATTTGTATACAGCTGAGAAAGAAAAAAACTCAAACTAAGGGAAACCAATTAAAAGCTAACTGAAGTTAATCTCACTGAAACATGTTACAACATGGGGAAAACCTTATATATTCATAGTGTGGAAACTGATAAAGGAAATCTCAACTAAAATTGGTGCGAGGAAGGCCTATGGAGGGAGTTCTCATGCCTTGCTCCAAACAGGGAGAGATGGTGTTGTATCTCCAGCAGGAAGATGTATCTACTTTAGTACACCTGCGAGATGAAGGAAGATTTTCTTCTTACCCAGCAACAAGCCCAGCCAATGGAAAATGCTGCAGCTCAGCCAATGAAAAGTCGTTATCGCCTGAAACTCTTACTTTCCGCCAATAAACTTTTATTTTGCTTTTACTATGACTTCCTTGCCCCGCTCTTCTCTCTTTAAAAGCCTTCTGTTTTGTGTTACTCTCTGCTTGCTGGCTGAGATGCTGCCCAATTCATGAATCACTTAATAATACCAATTAGATCTTCAAATTTGCTCAGCTGAGTTCCGTTTTTAACAATAGCAATATACATTGGTATATTTTGCTCATCTAAACCCAATGAGCAAATTTAAAATGATGGCCATGTAGCAAGCCAGTGAGACAGCATGCATTTTGTCAAGAGAGAAACAGTAGCAAAAGAGAAGTTGGTGATTAATACCTATCCTGATTTAATTGCTCGATGTCCACTATTTTCTGCCACGTGCACCAGAGAGAGCTAATCAGAGCCACGATTACAGGAACACCTCTTGTTAGGAAGACTGCATAGAGTGAAAAGGCTTTGCAAGGAACCAATGCTTTTTATCTTGCATACTTCTATTTCTATCTCCTTAACAAAATACTATCTAGTTAACTAAACCAACAGAGAGCATCTCCTATACTCAGGTACAAGCTGTGTTACTTCTAAAAGTTGTCAGTTTGGAATTCATTTAAACCGTGTGTGTGTGTGTGTGTGTGTGTGTGTGTGTGTGTGTGTGTGTGTGTGTGTTGGTGATAGGCTATATCCAATGTCCTGCTCTAAGGGACAAGAGGTGATACAGCTCTGTGTTGGTTCCCTTCAGAGAAGCAGCCCTAGATAATATTCAGAAAAAGCACATGGCAAGTCCTGGGAATAGAGTGGAGGAGGGAATCAAACGATGTAAAGTACCATGTAAAGTACAAATAAAAGTCTCAGTATCTTTCAAGGCTCGGACAAGCCCAAGCACTGGAATTATTCAAAAGTAAAGCTACAGCCACAAACAGCTCCCTCAGATCCTGAAAGCTTCTTCCCCTGGATGAACCCATTCAGACTCTGATCTTTCCTTCAAAAAGTAGGAGGGGAAAAGCCCATTTCATTTATGCCACCCAGTGCTTATTCCGACCCTGTTCTCTAGTTTGTGCATCTAAAGGGCAACCCCAAAAGGTAAGTGCACCCCATCTTCACCTTTGATTCAGAATACTCTGAAAGATGGCTGTGGAGCTGTCATTAATGGTTAACAGAAGGTGTGTAGTTGCATCTCTGTTATAAGAAGCGCGAGCACAGGACTCACCTGTGAATAGTCCCCACCTACTGGACTCAAATACAAATGTAGTTGGTAGAGTGCCAACATCTGCCAACCCGAAGCTGTGTCATAGCCTCAGTTTGCTCTGCTGCACTTTGTGTGTTTTTTCTTTGGTTTCGGCTGCATGCTGGATAGTCATGCAGAACTGTGCATGGGTTGACCACCTGTCTTTGTACAGTATGCCTACATGGGTT